AGGAAAAGGCATATTTATTTGTTTTTTTAATTTTTAAGTTTATTTATTTATTTAGGTAATTATCCATATAGCATACTTTTACAATATATTTTTAATTCATGAAATTCAATAACTACCAACAGACTAAGGATATATACACAAAAAGTATGACTAGCACACTTATTTGCATTGTGGTCCTTGGTATAATAAATTAATATAAATAATCTAATAGGAAAGAGCAACATGCTGCACTATTCACTCACCAGGTGTCAGCAGCAGTCGCACGGCCCGCGCGAGGAACACGGCAACGACCGACGGCAGCTTCTGATTGGCTACGCGGATGCCGTCGCGCACGCACTCGAGCAGGTGCGTGAGCTGCGCCGTCTCGGAGGCACGAGTGCTGCCCTCTAGCTGCTGGTAGAACGACACGAGCACATGGTAGGCGGCGCCACGCATCGCAGCGTCCTTACTGCCGAGCGCGGCCAAGGTCACGCCGAGGGCGTTCACCTCTACGAACTTGGTGCAGTTGACGAGTTTCCCTGTAGGAGGGATTTCTTTTGTGAAGAATCGTCACTGCCGTTGTCACCATCGTCATCATCATCCTCATCATCGTCCTCATCATTGTGATCGTCGTCATCATTGTCATCATCGTCGTCATTGTCATCTTCGTAGTCACTGTCATCGTCATCGGCATCGGCGGCAACAGCATGCTCTTCGTTATCATCATCTCGATCATTATACACATCAAGTGATGATTGCACATATTACGAGTTTTAAACGCTATTTAACGAATAAAACGAAATTTAGCGAACCAAAAGAAGCCTTTATGGACAGGTGACCATTCTACCGACATTCTCAGGTTCGACTGCATAGTAAATCACGTCTTGTGCGCAAAAAAAAATCTTTAAAAAATCCTAAAAATCCTTTTTTAAATTAAAAAATTAAAGTCTAATTAATAGTAAAATCTAAACCAAAATTGCAAAAAAAATCTCGAAATAAAAAATAATTAACAAACTAAACTCGTACCGGGCGACAGCAGATGGCTGAACAACGGCAGCAGGAAACACGGATCGTACGCGTCCTCTGATTGGCCGTGCAGCGTCGCGTGGCAGACGTCCTCGCTCAGTCGCCGTGACAACGGGAAGTTAGTCGCTAGGTTCATCATACGCTCCTCACTCAGCAGTTCCAGCACGGCGTCCATCTTGGCTTCTTTCCACAGCGACGGCGCGACGTCCTTACGCGCGTTGTAATGTTCAATGGCGGGCGGTCCCCAGAAGAATGGTCTGAGCGAGAGAATAATAGAGGGAGCTGCAAGCGACGATGGCCGAGCAGGGATGGGAACGGAGAATTTTTTTGGCACTTTTTCTTAGTACGTACCGGGTATTTTATTATTTCATTTAGAACAACTTATCGTTGTTGGCATCCGAAAAACAATTGGAAGTAATCGATTTGAAGGTTATTTCATTAAATTGCTGCATACAACTATTCTCATATGTGTGCATGTGTGCGTGCATGTGTATGAAATCAACCCAACGAATACATCAAGAATAACGATTTTTGGAATAGTGAAACCAAGGTAAAGATTGCTGCAGTTTTTACGATTTTGATGCATAATTAAAAAAAAAACTGCCTTTTACTGCCCTTTGCTTAAATAACATTTCAACATCACAAATTCTCAAAAGTCAAACGTTATTACCAAACTTCTTCGATAAATTCGATCGTAATCGGTGATCGATAATCGAATCAATAACACATCGTTAGCGCAATCGTTCCTCAGCGTTCTCACCTGTGCTCCTGGAGACTCACACCGTTAGTTTCATACAGCGCCACTAGATGGAGCAGCTGTCGGTCTGTGTGACTCAGCGTTGCAGCGTAACCTCCCAGCAGCACGGCGACGTGTGATGACTCACAGCAGGCGGGGTCAAAGGTCACCAGCATCATCATGAGCGACACTAGCGCGGCTGTAACGTATATAAATATAAAACTAATAACATAACATAATATAACATAAACATAAATGTAAATAACAACACATAATAATAATAACATTAATAACATAAGTCATAACATAATATAATATAAACATAAATACAAATAACAACACATAATAATAATAACAATAATAACAAAACGCTAATAATAATAAATATAAACTACTCTACATGCTAATCCTAATCCTAATCCTAATGCTAATCCAAGAAACCTTCGTGACCCCATGATGACCTTAGCGCGCACCTTTCGTCGCCCGCATGCATCCTGATTCGTCCAGCATCACCGACAGAAACTGCGAGTGGCTCAACGCCATCTGGTGGATCGTCTGAACAGCGAGCGCGCCCTCGGCGGTGGCGCCGGCGTTCGACTCGTACATCAGCCAACAGAGGGCGCCGATAAGTTTCAGCGCTGAATCATTCTCGTACAGATGCCTGATCCCGAGAGAGAAGTGAACGTGCGATTAATTCACGCGCAACGCCGCGACCTCCACACGACCTTGAACGGCGTTCCTCCGTGTCGTGGGGTCGCACCCAAGGTCAACCACCTCATCCTCCGGGAAAATTATTTCATGGCAATTCCGGGTGCACGGCACGACGGGCAACATTGACTTTTGGCAGGCGACATTGGTTTTTAATTATATAATATTATACATTTTAAATTTCTAAATTTTAACAATATTTATGGCACATGACAAGCTCTGCACCAATCGCAATTTTCTTCAGTATTTTTTTTTTCTCAGCCATATATTTTATTTTGTTATATTTTATTACACTACACTGTATTGTATTGTATCACATTATATTATAATGCATTAATTAAATTACATATTTATACTCTAATGACATCGCAACATGCAATAATATGTACGATAGCAATATTGTATAATCTCTTACATAAAGAGTCTGTTTTTCGGTCTGTCTGTCTATCTTCTCCCCCACCCCCCCATAAGAGGTCACCCCCAACACGATATATATTCTGAATCAGCATGATGCGACGACCATTTTAGGCCAAATAAAATAAAAAAAATTAAAAAATCTCAAATGGCCGTCATGGCAGACTCAATTCTAGCTCTTTTCTCCTTTACCCTAGGCATCGCCGGGTAGCCCAGCTAGTAATATATAATTGTTACTGCTACGCCTGTATAATTAACCTGTATCTTATATAATATATATGAATACATATATGAATATATATAATATATTATATAATTATTTGATGCCCGTCACAATTCGTGATTCTTACCTGAGCAGGAGTTTCACAAACTGACTCCAGCAGCCAGCCACCTCTTCCTGCATGGCCGCCGCGCACACCGCACGCGTCTCCACGAGCACGTTCGCTTGTTCGACGGCTAGTGCTGCCACCTTGCGGCACGCTTCCACATCTTGCTTGCTCGCGAGATGGTTCGCGACGAATCGCATGTAGTTTGCGACGAACGCCGCGCCGCGCCGCCCCCTGGTGTCGTCTGCATTCTCCGACGCCTCTCCGTTCGCCTGTTCGTGGTCTTCGGTCTGACCCTCACTGTCTAATCGCCCTGGCTCGTGGTCTCCTGGCAACCCTCGCCGGCCGTGGCTGGGCTGTGGCTTTGGTGGCAGCACGGCTTCATATAGGTGTTTGTAAGCCTTCATCCTATTGGCTAGTACACCGACATGCTGACCAATGATGGTGTGCATAACTTCTGTGAGCTCCACCAAGCTGGCTTCATCTGTAGGAAACATAGGAGAGAAAGAACAATAATGTAAATAAAATATTAATTTAACATTTCAATTTAACATTAATTCAGTTGATTAATAAAATGAGCTATTTTCAGGGATGCTAATCAATATTCCCGTGGTCATATATACCTAAAAATCAAGCTCACTAATTATATTTGATTAATTTGGAGGATGCATTGAGTCATATGTTGTGTCATACAGACAAAGCCTACCTAATTAATTACTAAATTTATCGCAGAAATATTCTAAATAATAATAATAATGATAATAGTAATTGTAATAATAATAATAATAATAATAATAATAATAGTAATTGTAATAATAATAATAATAATAATAGTAATAATAATAATAATAATAATAATAATAATAATAATAATAATAGCAGACCGACTGAACAGCACTCACCTAATGTATGACTCAGGAGCAGTGATGTCATTATGCTAGCTAAGGCATCATCAGTGACATCATCATCTAAGCCTTCCGGTTCCAGCATCCAACCAATCAGAATTCTCCAGTAATGAATTCGTACAGCCTTGAAGACAGCATCCAAGCCTGCAATGTTAAAAATACCACATGAATACATAACGATAAGGATTCACATACACTCCACACAACGTACACATCCATATACCTACATGTAATACAGAAAAATCACAAACATGTGCATAATGCATTAATATACCTTTACTTCAATTGAGATAAATTTCTTTTCAGACAGATTACCACCCCTCCCTCTTCTACTACTGCACACTCCACCCTCGTCTTTCCCCCACATAGTCCCTCACCACCTATCCCTCCCTCCCCACCCCCTGTTGACCACAC